CCCAAATCCTCCAACCTCCCAAAAACTCCTAAACCTTAAAAAAAAAGAACCAAAAAAAATTCCCTATTTAACACTTTTTTCCTGCTTTTCCGAGCTTTTTTTATTGACTTTTCACCCCTTCTTACCTCCTTTCGCGGCTCCTCCGTCGCCGCTTTCATTAGGCCCCGCCGATATTCGCCCCTCCGGATTTCCTCCCTCATTCGCCGTTGTCGCCCTTCGGGCTGCCAAATCGACTCTTCCAGTCGTCAATTTCCTCCGGGGCTCCAAATTCGGCTAAATATTGATTTCTCCGCCCATTTTTTTTAATTAGACAATAGAGGGTGGTAAATCATTAAAAATACATTATATAATCAATATAAAAATGATTTTAAATAAAATGATAGAAAAATAAAAAATTCTGGCAAAAACAAAATAAAACAATTAAGTAAAGCGGGCAAAAATAGGCTTGAAAAGGTCAATATTTTAGGTTCAGAAAAAATTTTTTTGCTACTTTTTTTAAAAAGGGGTGAAAATTAAGGAAAAAGGTAGGAATTTAGTTGGTTTAGTATAAAAGTATAGAAGCAATAAATATGAAAGGTTATTGAAAGAAAAACAATAAACAAAAGCAACAATTTAAAAGTTATTATTGTGCTAAATGTCGGCAAATTAAGCCTTGTCAACTATTAACGAGCTTAAATAGCGAATGAAAGAGCTATTGCTGTGCTTGTTATTATAAAAACGAGCAAGAGAGAGCTGCGGAATACATTAGCTATGAAAAGGTTCTTGGAAGCAAGCAACAAGAGCAGGTAAGCCGGATTAAGCAATATCAACTTTTAAAGAGTTATGGAGGGTGTAAAAAGTGCGGCAGTTTAGAAGTGGATGCTTATAGCTTATATGAAAGAAATAAGTTAGTTTGTCAACCTTGTTTAATAAAAAAAGTGGGTGAAAGCAGCAGTCCAGTTAGTTTTTTAGGGCAGGAAAAGTGATTTAAAAAGCGTTGGAAAATAGATATTAGTTGGTGGTTAGAGAATTACGGGAGTTTGTCAGTTAATGCTAATTGTGCGAAAAAGTGGTTAAAAGATAAGGAGCATTTAAGTAATTGTGCTTGTTTAGAGCAAGAAGCCCAGGAATTACAGCAATTATTTACTAGTTCTTTACGAGAAATGGCCGAGAAATTAAAAGAATGTGCTTGTGAGGCAAGCAATAAGCCCCGCACTCCTTATTATGATAGTGATAATTATGGTTATACTTATTGTGAAAAATGTGAAGCCAGAATAAGCGGAGCCGGGAAAATGGGAGTAATTAAAAATCGTAACAATCCGGCTTTTTGAGGTTTAAAAGTTTCGGAGAAAGTGCTTTGTTTAAAATGTTTAGATAAATTGGGAGAAAAAATGCCAATTAGCAAGAAATATACTTTTAATAAGTATTTGAGGAGGTATTGGGGGTAAA